CCCTGGGTAACCAGTAGTCGGCCGCTGCCGCCGCGCCCAACTCCGGGAGCAGATGGAGTCGGCCCGCGGCCGCTAGCGCTAGCGGGAGGGTCTGCGGCTGGGAGGCCGGGGCGACCCAGGACCCCCGCCGCTGCCACCGGCGGGGGAGGACAAGCCAGGCTTCAGAGTGAGGTGTGCTGGGGATGGGGAGGGAGGACTCTAGGCTCCCAGACAGCCTTGCTGAGCCGAGTGTCCGATGAGAGAGCCCCGAGGACCAGTGGAGAGCATCTAATTTGACCAATATCCCTGTTTTTACAAATAAGGGAACCAAGTCCACGGGGAAAGAGAGGCTTTCCTAAGTCACACAGCTATCCAGTGGCAGAACCGGACTGGGGTACCGGGCCTTTCTTATCCACTGTCCTTATTGGAATGAATGTGAATAATCATAATACAAGTATTTATTATTATAATATATTAGATTTTGGAACTATGAATGGTGATATCACTTTGGCGTTCAGAACTATTAGTATGATTTCTGTGCTGGAAAAACCCAGCCACTCTGTCCTCCTGGGCTTGGATCCTCATTACTTCATTCATTAAACATTAGCTCGGTGGTTATTTGTGCCAGGTACTCTGCAGCAAACGGAAGGTGTAGAGATAAACAAGCACCAGCCCTCCATATGGAGCAAAAGAGAAAAGCCCCAGACACCAGTAGCTGACACAGGTGTAGGAAACGCCATGGGCATTAGAAAGATAATGGAGCACTGGTGACTCACTTCTGTGTCACTGCTGGCTGACTGGAGGAAGACCTTGGTGATATCTGATCTAGATCTTTAAGAGCGGGTCATTTGGGGGCATTTGGAAATGGGTGGCGCATTCCAGGTAGAAGGTTCGGTATAGTGTTAGCAACACAGCTGCAGGTGAGATTGAAGAATAATAGCTTGGTTTGCCTAGAATGTGGGGATGAATAGGGAGGCCAGGATTACAGAGGGGGAAAGATGGGGAGTCAGGAGTGGGAGCCTGGGAGGGGTTTCAAGCTGGGAATGACAGTGCAGTGGCTGAGGATGGTTCACCTGGCTGGGAGCTGGATCCCTCCGCTGTAGGGAAAGGATGTTGGACCAAGGATCCTTGCAGCTCTGAGGGTCTGTGAATTAGCCGATCTGGGAGCACAGGGGTTCATAGAGCCATCTCAGTGTGGCAGGGCTATGGATGACAAATGCAGCTGGAGTGGGAAAGAGTCCAAATTGAATTGGGAGACTGTTGGACTGTAGGGATAGCCAGTGATCGTGTTTCAGACTGCCAATAGCATCCTTGGGAGTAGTTTGTGAAAAAGTGCTCTTAGTATTCTTGTAACACGTGGACCCGAGCAGCAGTTAATCAGCCTGTCCCTGTCTGTGCAGGTTACAGTTATTTCTTTTGATGCATCCCCAGGGACCAACAGGGAACTGTAAACCGGGCAGCTTGTTTTGGCATCTGAAATGGGAAATTTCTTGTACACAGATTACAGCCTTACCTTCATGTCACTCTTTGTTTTAAACTAGTCAAACATTTCTGTGCAGATGAACTAAAATGAAGTGTTTCTACCTTAAAGGTGACACAGAGAGATTTCTGCAGAGGACTTACAAATGTATCTTTAATTGGCTCTGTGCTATCATGTTTATGAAGCCCTACATGACATACTTGTGCTTGAATGAAATGAGTAGATATCCATGTAAATCAAATCACCCAAGCAGACAGGTTTTAGCCATTTTCCTAAGGTATGAGTCTGGGAACCATCTAAATACTTCTGGCCCCATCTCCACCCCTTCCCTGCAGGAGAAGAGGAGGGGGTCCCCAACGCTCCACTTCCTGTTACTCCCTGGTCCTACATATAAATGTTTAAAAACTTCCTGTATTGGCTTATGAAATATACATTTAGGATGCTTTTGCAGCTTCCCTGTCTAATGAATATTTGAGAAGAGGGAAAAGATGAAATATTGTTTAGTAGTGATTCCTTTGGTTAAACATGTTAATCAGTGGTGTCAAGGAGGAGCGTACAGTCTGGAATAAGAAGACAGACTTGGAATTGAATTCTAGTTCTGTCACGTACCACCTCTGTGACTTTAGCTCTGACACAATTCATCTGAGCCTCAGTCTCCTCATCTGTAAAATGGTGATCATAATAATCAGCTCACAGTTGCTACGCAGTCTAACAGCGTGCAAGCAGGGCTGTAGAAATGCCAGCAAGGGAGGTGGTATAGTGCTCTAGGGGACAAGCAGTTAGGACGAGGAGCCTGCCTTTGGAGGTAGGGTAACCTGAGTCCAGAAGTAGGTTCTGCCCTTTCCCACTGTGTGACTTTGGGTGATCCCTGAACCACTGTGAACGTCAGGTTCCTCATCTTTAAGATGGGAGAAATAATTGTATTACTTTGTGGTGTTGGTTCAAGGATCACACCTGGCACAGGTCCTGAGATACAAAGTGAGAGAACCCTGGAGGTGAAAGGGACCTTAGAAGGCCTCCTCACGCTTACAGCGCCCCCACCCAGTGCCATGGGGTCTTACTTTCATCAACCCTGACGGAGACTGCTATCTGTACCAGGGCCTCCATTCCGTTGTTCGATCACCTTCAGTAAAAGAAAAAATTTTCCTCATAGACAGCTAAAAGCTGCCTCAATTTAACTTCCATGTGTTGATCCTCTTCTGTGCTCTGTAGAAAAATTGATCTTTATTTTTGAATGAAAATTTTTATTTTAATTAAAATGTAATTTTAGATTCACATGCACTCGTAAGAAATAATACAGAGAGATCCCTCGTACCTTTACCCGGTTTCCCGCAATGGTAACATCTTACAAAACCACACAATGATATCACAAACAGGTTACTGACATGGACTCCATGGGGAGACAGAACATTTCCACCACGTCTAGAATCTCTCGTATGTTGCCATTTTATAGTCACACCCACTTCCTTCTTACTACTTCCTTGATCCCTGACAGCCACTATTTATTCTCCATTTCTACCATTTGGTCAGGTCAGAATGCTATATAAATGGGCTCGTATGCATAACATGGCATGCCATTGGCTCTTTTCACTCCGCATAATCCCCTGGAGAATCCCCCTGGTTGCGTTGTTGGATTTATCAGCAGTTTGTTCCTTAGCATTCCGTGGTATGGCTTGACCCCAGTTTGACGTTCACCCACTGAAGGTCATCTGAGTAGTTTCCACTTTGGGGTTATTATGCTGTAAAATCTGTGGACAGGTTTTGTGCGAATAAGTCTTCATTGTCTTTAGTCTCCGGGATAAATGCCTAGGACCGCAATTGCTGGATCACATGGTAGTTACAAGTTAAGGTTTTAAAGAAATTCCCAGACTGCTTCCTGAGTGGCTGCAGCATTTTATGTTATCACTAGCTCCACAGCCTTGCCAGCATTTTCTGTGGTCCCCGAGTTTTATTTTAGTCTGTTATGATAGGTGTGCAGTGCTGTCTGGTTTTAATCTGCATTGTCCTAAAAGCTAACGATGTTTAACCTGGCTTACTGATATCTGTGACTCCTGTTTGATAAAATGTGTCTTTGTGTCTTTTCCTCAAGTTCTAATTATATGCCTTGCTTTTAATTGCTGAGTTTTGAGAGTTCTTTCTGTGTTCTCGATACTGGTCCTTTCTCGGATATGTCGTTTTCAAATATTTTCTCCCACTCTGTAGCTTGTCTTTTTGTCCTTCTAACGGGGCTTTTGTGCTGCAAAAGTTTTAAATTTTGAGGATGTCGGATTGTTGGCTTTTTTCTTTCATGGATAGTACTTTTTGTATCAAGTCTACGAACCCTTTATTCACCCTGGATCCTGAGGATTCTATGTGTTTTTCTCCTTTTACATTTTGTATTTAAGTCCATGATCTATTTTGAATTACTTTTTGATTAAGGAGGTGTGAGACATGGGTTGAGGTTATTCCCCCGCCAACCCAGTGTAATTCTAACTGTTCCATCACCATTTGTTGAAAATCTTTTTAAAAATAGCCTATGACCTTGGGCAACTCAAATCACCTGCCTGGCTCTGTTTCCTTTGTTTCAAGAATGGGAGGGTTGGACCAGGACTAGATGGGTGTTATTCAAGCTCCAGGCCTAGAAGTCCTGGGCCCTCAGGCAGCAGCAGTGAGGAGCAGATGGGGCTCTCATGCCCTTGCCTGACGCTGTCCAGGACTGGGCTGTTTTATAGTTTTTATATTTTTTTGTGGGTCTATCTAATATCTGGTTTGATACAGGACCCCACTGCTAAAAACAAGTGTGGAGGTCAGTGGATTAGGTAATATTTGAAGTCCCTTTTCGCAGTACGTTGCTGTGATTCTAAGTGTTTGGTGTCAGAGATCAGCTTTTTCCCTTCCACATTAGCCTTCATGCTTCTCCCTTAATTTCTTGAGAGGTTACGCATTTGAGACGTTTTCCTCGTGACTCAGCCATTCCTCTTTATAATGAGTTTCATGAAATCAACTCACTTACATTTCATAAGTCGATTTGCAAACGATATGTCAGAATTTTAAATGTGTTTTATATATTAAAAATTTCCAGTGGAATCATCTGTTCCACAGAATTGTTGTGGTTGAAAGTGAGGATAAGGAACTAAAGCCACACGTAAGCCATGAACCCATCGCTCAGCCTTTACAAACAGCCACCTCTCCCTGCCATCCACCATCTCCCTGCTCTGGCCAGCTCACAAAGCACCTGCATCAGCTTCTAGCCAGTTCATGAAAGGTTAACAACAGCTTTTCGAGATAAACAGTTCAGTTCAATATTATTATTTTTTTGTTGAGGTATAGTTGATTTACAATGTTGAGTTAGTTTCTGGTATACAGCTAGTGATTCAGATACACATTTATATATATACACACGTATATTTTTCATTACAAATTATCACAAGATATTTAAACATAGTTCCCTGTGCTATACAGTAGGTCCTTTTGTTTATCTATTTTATATATAGTAGTTTGTATCTGCAAGGCCCAAACTCCTAATTGATCCCTCCCTGTACACCTTCCCATTTGGTAACCATACATTTGTTTTCTGTGTCTGTGAGTCTGTTTTGTAAATAAGTTTACTTGTGTCATTTTTTTTTTTTAGATTCCACATGTAAGTGATATTATATTTGTCTTTCTCTTTCTGACTTACTTCACTTAGTCCTATATTCTTAGGAATATAAACTGAGACTCAAGGTCTATTTTGTCCTTTCTCAGAGTGACAAAGTAGGCGAGGGAAGACCTAAGATTAGAGTCTCATATTCC